GATCTACACATATGGTGGGAGAATTTGGGTGAAGAAGGACGAGATGTGGTCAACCATTATTTGGGAGGGCTCACCGGATTGATGAAGATCAGGCCTAGAGAAGACATAATAAGGGCATTGGTAACATTTTGGGACCCAGCTCACAACGTCTTGCATTTTTCAGATTTTGATCTCACACCCACCTTGGAAGAGATAGCGGGTTATATGGGAAGTACTGAAGGTCTAAGGCATAAGTATTTGATCACTCCCAGAACCGTTACCTCCACAAATTCATGGATCTGCTAAAAATAAGCAAGGGGGTCAAATACGCTGATTTGGCAGACGGTTTTCCACGCTACACTTCATATACAAGAGGTACGGGCATGTAGGAGGATTCGACAATCCAAAGAGCGGGGTTTGTAGCAAAGGGAACTGAACAAAATGGGATGAGCATAGGCGCTTCGCTTTCATGGTAGATTTCTTAGGTCTCGTGGTGTTTCCCCAAAAAGATGGGAATATCAATCTGCGGGTGGCTGGAGTCGTCAAAATACTGATTACCAACACCAAGAGCACCCTCGCCCCTATGATAGTATCTGAGATATACCAAGCTCTCACAACTTGTAAAGCTGGGGCAGACTTCTTTGAGGGATGCAATTTGCTATTACAGATGTGAATGATCGAACACCTGTGTCACCACCCTCAGTATATGAGATAAGGGTCCGCAGAGAAAAGCTGCATTGAAAAGTTTGACACAAGGATTTCAGGGTTCAAGCTGCCAGAAGGGTTTGGAGATTGGGTATCCCGCCTTCGCTCCATCACTGCGGGGCAAGTAGAGTGGATATTGGGTTGGCTTCCTGTTGAAGAGATTGTGTATATGCCTGCCACTAGTCCTTACCTCCTCCTAATGGGTCTTCGAGGCATTCAGCCTCACGGTCCTTACCGGGTGATGAGACAGTTAGGAAGATGCCAGGTGATGCACCCGGATGAAGATCTTAGTGTTTGTGCGGTCGAAGTCAGCTTCGACGGCCAATTTCATGAAGAAACAGTTCGTCATATTTGGAACGAGTGCCAGTATTTGACAGCAAACACTCGAGTGCGTTACTTATCTAGAGGCGAGGTCTCACCCACCTATCTTGCCTGGTATAGGAAGAAGAACACCGCAAGAGCCGAACCTGAAAGACCAACCAAAAAGCCTCACATCCAGGAATTTGTTGAGGCGTCGCAAGAACAGTGGGCTTGGTTGGCCAAGGAGAATGAATACAGGGCCACAATAGCAAAGTTGGAAAAACAAGTCAGGGATCTTCAGTTTGAGAACGGTTTGCAAGCCGCCGCGGATGAGGGCGAAAAGAAAAAGCTAGCTAAAGAAAATGATGCCCTCCGAGTCCAGATTCGGGAAATGAAAATAGCAGCCAAAAACCCCGCCAGAAGTGCAAAAGATGAAAAGCTTATAAATAACCTTAGGCAGAAGGTGAGTGAGTATGGTTTTGATTTGAATAAGGCCGAGGGTGAACTAGCAAGGGCTCGAAAAAAATTGCCTAAGAATGCGGAGGAATGAGCAGGCTTGGTTAAACAGTTAAAAGAGAGATATGACAATAAGGTTGTGGGGTTGAAGAAAAAGATCACCGTCCTTGAGAACAAAATGACTAAGCAGACAAAAGACTTTAAAGAAGAAAGAGAACACTGTTATGCAGCAATAGCAAAGTTAGAAAGAGATCTACAACAACTCCGAGAACAAAATCATATAGCTGAACAAACTCTGGAAGCTAGGGCTCAGCAGATTGGGCGTTTGTTACAAGAAAAGGGCATCATAAGAGAAAGGGTCAGAAGGATTGCCGACTACATCGCGATGAAATACAGTATTTGTGAGGACATGACTAGATCCATGTTCTTTGCCAGTATAATGACCTTTGTTCGCTAGATAATGGAAGATCTCTATCATCTCCAAGGGGATTTGGCACGTAGGCCCGTGGCGAGGCTGAATAATAATATCTCCAAGGAGCAGTTGAAGCATTGATTCATGATTTTTATTGGAGTCTGTTAGTTTGTTTTCGAGTTTGTAGTTTCATCTTTACATCAGAGTCTGTTAGTTTCCTTTTCGAGTCTATTAGTTTTTAGTCGTTGTAATCAAAACATTTTCTTTTTATGAAAAGTTTGAAAATCCCAATATATTTTATTATTTATTTTTACACTTATCCCCCAGAACTATATTCATGGGGGGTCATGATACGTAGGCAATCTCTATAAGATTCGATCATAACCAAAAGAAAAATAAGAAGAAAAGAGAGAGAGAGAGAGAAAACAAGAAGCCGTGGGAGGGAAACAATGGCAAAATAAGAGAGAGAAATATGAGAGAACAAAGAATAACGAGAAATCGAGCAAAGAAAGAGAAAAAGAAAAAGGAAAAAAAAAGGGAAAAAGAGAAGTTGCAAATAGAAATTAGAGAAAGCCGGGATGACGCAAGCAACCGATCAAATGCATGATAGCAATGGTTAAACTGCTTAGGTACATTACATTCCCTAAATGTGCGGTTGCCTATCTGTTAAGCTCTAATCGCTAACAAGTTTGTTGTTGATAATCAGTACAGGAAGGTGGTTAGTTTGTTTGGCATTCTGGCAACTCACCCATACAACACCCGGTCCAAAAACAAGTCGATCATGGCAAACTAGGAACTTGATGCGAGTGTTATCGATCCTTCGAGAGAGGTGGAAGAGTCGGATGTTAATTTGAAAGAAGAGATGTATAATCTGAAACAATAGATGGCCGAGATGTATCAAGCATGGGAAAAAGGGCACCCACCACCGCTTTACCCCGCCAAACCTGCTTTCGTCCTGCCATTGGCTCAATCCCAGGAACCTCCCACAACCGATTCATCCACGGGCTTTCCCATTTACCACCACTATCAAGGCACTACTTGCCAAACACCACAAGCTCCACCACCCAAACCAGTTCCATACCCTCCTCCACCAGCCACTCCTATTTTTGTGGCACCCCCACCCGCTACACTCCACCGATCCTTTAGTGAGCTTTTATTCCAGGCCCATGATAACCAATATTACCCCCTGGAGCCCACTTTCAAAGCTACAGAACCCTATTCCTACACTCCTTGTTTTGATCTCCCTGTGGAAACTGAGAAACCATCTAAAAATCCTGAACAAGAGGAGATGTTTAGGAAGGTTAAGAGCCTGGAACAGTCTTTCAGGAATATGCAGGGGTTGGGAGGTCAGGTAAGCGTGGCTTACAAAGATCTATGTTTATTTCCAGATGTTCAGTTGTCGGTGGGATTTAAGATGCCCAAGTTTGATTTGTATGATGGGCAGGGAGACCCGGTGGCGCACTTGAGGGAAAGACGAGTTGCTAATGGCATATTTCAGTCAAAGTCTGAGTGGTTCGACGCTGGAGTGGTACATTCGGCAGGATCACGGCAGATGGTATACATGGGATGATATAGCCCAGGCATTCGCTTGTCATTTTTAGTATAATCTTGAGATTGTTCTAGATCGTCTGGCGTTGATAAAGATTGAGAAAAAGCACAATGAAAGCTTTAGGGAGTATGGTTTTCGATGGAGAGAACAAGCAGCAAGGGTTGACCCTCCAATGAAAGAAAGCAAAATGGTGGATTATTTTCTGTAGGCCATAGAGCCTACTTATTACGGCCATCTGGTATCAGCTATAGGCAAGTCCTTTAATGAAGTAGTGAAGATGGGCGGTATAGTGGAAGAAGGGCTCAAGTCAAACAAAATCATGAGCTATTCGGCTATTAAAGCAACTACCCAGGCCATTCAGAGCGGAACTGGGGGAGTAATCGGAAAGAAGAAGAAAGAGGATGTGGCAACGATTGATTCAAAAGCTTGGTTCGGACCTAGGGGCTCATCTCACCACTATAATCAGCCTCGACCCCACCACCAAACCTACCCCCATACCCCGTATAATCCACCCCAACATTACTATCCATCACTAGACCCCCATTTTTCTGTCCACGATGCCCAAACATATAACCAACCCCCCGCCCACGCACAATGGTGTGCGCCATCCCCACAAAACACTTATCCGCCCCCACGAGCCTACCGAAACCCTCCTAGACCAGATTTCCGACTCAATCAAGCATTTAAGAACGAAAGTTACAGAGGAAGAAAACCTTCACTCCATTGGGAGAGTCCTATACTAGTTTATTCCACAGGATAAAACAATTGGATATGCTGAGGCCGATCGAGTCAAAATTGCCAAATCCTCCCCCTAGAAATCTTGATTATTCTGTAAAGATACAGAATTCTATTAACCCGAGAGAAGGTGTTAGGCATTCCCGGATTCCGTGGTTCTAGCACGGTCGCATAAACTATAAATATTGGCATATTATCTGATTTACTACATATTTTAAATCAATTGTGCATTTTTAACTTTATAACTGCTTTTAATTATTTTAAACCGCTTTTTTAGGATTTATAGAATTATTTCTAGAACAAGTTACGATTGTCGTACACTTGTTTGTTTTGGAACATACCGCAAACCACGCTACATGAAATGCACCCGCGGTTCGTGATATATTTATTTTATTAAAATTCGAAGTTGTTATGATCGGGGTACATGAAATGCACCCCGAATTTGGGAATTGGGTATCATGCCTATGCCACGGAAACCGTACCCGTAATCACGATAATTTTATTAATCGCACTTTAAGCAAACTACGGTGTTTAACCAATTGTTTCCTAAATTAATTTTGGTTTGCGTGAAGGTTTCATGTTATAGAAATGGGATTTTTAGAACATAATCTTGTCGGGTCGTTGTTCTTTCATTTTTCATAAACAGAATAACACCTTTCAAGAAATAGGTTAGTCCCCAACTTGAGAAACCAAGACTAAAACATTGCACAAGGCCTTGACAAACATCAGTAATGGAGAAAATATTAAAGGATTAAACATATTTATCCAATTAATAGACTAATAGTAATTTAATAACACCAGAGATGTGCTTTGAAGTCACGAATCATTGCAATGATTCATAAAACCCACAGAAGCTGGTTCATATACATGAACATATCATCAGGTATTATACTACTCTTTCAAGTCTCGCCACAAAGTTATGTAACACAACTGCTCAACCCTAATTATAAAAGGCTAGTAACCAACCAGAAGGGAGCATACTTCAGGAAAATTATGGAGAAAACACTAGCATACATGGAACCAAAAGCTTAGGTCACGCACTTAAGCACATATGACAATAATTGATTTTCGAGTCCCAAACTACTCTGGTAATTACATAGAAAAGCACAAAATCAAGCACATAAGAGCACCAGCAGCCATAAATCAGCTGGAGTAAAATTCTGTCAAGAGGTACTCAGACTTCCCTCTTCTAGTCAAACACAACTCTATCAGATATTAACAAATTCGTTTGCACGAACTCAAGGATAGTAAACATCATTGCATGGACAGTGAAGCCACACCACATGATTATTTACACATGCCAGTTTAAATAAATAAGATTGAAGAGTATTCAACCTTCTTCCTAGCCAATCAATTTTAACAGCATCAAGCAGCAAAAATACCTAAAATAGCAAAAGGAACACTTAATCACTGAATAAGTCAAAAATGAGCATATCTAAATCTAATAAGCAATTTATCTTAACAAAATCACATAAGTGGAGACTAAACAACAGAAACAATCTTCATTCCAGATTTCAACATTTTTTGATCATTCAAAATTCAAGTAATTACATGGTTTCGTATTTACCTGCTAGGTGTAGGAAATGGCTAGATTGAGACAAGTTAAGGCAAGGAAAACAAAAATTGGAGCTCGGCAACAGTAGAATCAACAACATGCAGCTTCAAATTCCGATTTTGAAATAAACTCGAAAACCCAGAAATTAAGGAGATAACGCCACGGAAATCAGCAGAGCCTTAGAAATTCACTATTCTCCGATTTTTCTTCCATTTTTTTTTCAAATCTCTTTTATCATTTTCAGCTTTCCAAACTTTTGGAACTTCAAATTTTCTTCTTGCTTTTTGTTTGTCGCTGAATGATTTTATGTGTGTGTGTATTTTTTTATGTGTGTGTGCTCTATTCTGTTGAGCGATAGAATAGAAGGAAGGGAGGTCACTATTTTTGCTTGGGATGGAATTTTCTTGTTGTAAAGAGGGAAGGTTTTTTTTGTTCTTCAGACAATTTAGGGATGGGGGGTTGCGTCGTTTGGTCTGTTGAAGGGGTTTATCTCCTAGGTCTCTAAGGTATTTTAATTAAAGGGGAGGGGTGTGATTGGGTAGGCGGGTCGGGCAGGTCTGATCGGGTCAGGTTTTTGTGCTTTGAGTGGTTTGGGCCAGATTATGGGTAAAAGAACAACCCAAATTTGAATTAAAAATCCCCTCTTTCAAATTCTCTTTTTATTTTCCTTTTTCTTTTTTATTTTTTTCTTTTCCTTTAATTAAAAATTCTAATTTAATCTAAATTGTAAAACTAACTAATTATCTATTTATAATAATTATAAAAATTACTTGATCCTAAATCAAAAGAGACAAATCAGTAATCTAAAAATTAAAAGGTAAAAATGTAAAATGAGCTATTTTTTGTAATTTTTATTTTTAGTACAACAATTAATTAACTAATTAGTCCAAAAAAATTATAAAAACAAAATTTAAATGCAATGCATGTTATTTTGGTATTTTCATGATTTTAATAAGAATTGTGCACAAAAATGCAAATAATTAATAAAAATATTTACCGTGAAAATGGTAACAACAATTAAATTTGTAAATGAGATTCTAAAAATACGTGATCTATTTTTATGCTAGTTGTTAGAGCAGTTGATGCTAAGAGTATGAAGTTTAATGAAGAAATACAAGCTAAAACGGGGCAAATATCAAACTGAGATGCCTGCAGCCCGATCCTCGGACTGGTCGATGAAGGACCTCGGGGTCGATATATGGCTCGAGATTGAGCTATCAAGGGTAGTCAGGGATGGGATAACAGTTGAGATATGATCAAGCAAGGCTCTTTATGGACAATACTAAACAATAAATAAAGAACAAGTATGGAAGCAACAAACGCTAAGAGTAGCCTCGAGACAGTAGGAACGAGTAAGTTAGAGAGAAGAAAGAGAGAGAGATATTATTGATCTTGTGGAGAAATAGATGGAGCAACATCAGGCCCTTACAAAGTAGTATAGGTTCCCTTTATATAGGAGGGGAACTCGGTTATAGTACAACATGCATTAATTGTAAAGTATGGAGATAGGATGGCTAGACGCGATGCTTCCGCGTAGGCTTTGGATAGGCCGGCTTTGTCAGACTTAGCCGTGTTCCTTGGGAACTTCCCCATCTGCTCTAGCCTCGACCTTTGTCTTCTTTGAGTCGGGCCTTGACAATCCTCGAGGGAGGGGACTCGGTCGTAGCTCCACATCCTCGGGGCCTCGAGGTATTCTTTTGAAGTGGCTTGATAGCAAGAAATTAAGTCCTCCGATTTTGCCGCTTACAGATAGTCTCCACGTTTCCCAGAACAAAGAGATGGGAAATAATTCTGACACCTGACTCCACGAGCTTCTTACGACGACTTCATACCAATGATGCAACCTGTGGCGCGAGCTTTTTCGACAACTGGGGTGTCCTATGGACTTGTATATTTGACATCGTTCAATGCACGGTCGATTCCCGTTCTCCAAAATGAATGCTCCGCCATCGATTCGGTTCTTCAAGAAAGTAGTTATTGCGTTCTTCAGTCAATCTTTCAAAGCCTCAATGATGGTGTCGTTACCCACTATAAATGGGGTGCTTTGACATTGTTTTTTCTATCCAAGTACCTTCGTTGGCTCATTTGCCCATTTCTTCTTATCATCTTCCTCTACCCTTGAACATTATGTTTGGGGCTCATGGCCTCAAGGCCGTTCGACAGAGCTCCCGTAGGCTATGTTGTGGCCTTTTGTCGGAGCTTCCCTTTGTCGAGCACGACCGTGCTATTACGTTGCTACTGTGGTTTTTTTTACGTTTGTTGTTGCTGCTGTCATTGGCCCGAGATGGTGATAGACAGGGAATCGGTTCTCCCTTTTTGTAGACAGTCATTCAGACTATGCACCGCTGTTCTCTCTCCTACCTAGGCCTGGTGTGGCACTTCATCCATTGGGTTTTTTATTTCCCAAGGGATAAAATGGCACTACTATCCATTGAGGCTAGGGCCCACTGCATCTTCAACCTTTGGCTTTGGTGGGCCATGTCTCATTTCTCTGTCTCCTCTGCATCCCCTCCCTTTCCTTTTCTTCATCTTTTCCCTCGGTGGGGACCCTCCGCAAGATTGAGCTTGGAACCTAGAGGAGGTGGCGGTCGAAGGAATCGCCCTCGAGGATGCGAGCTCGAGAGGGAGGTGCTCGAGGATGTTGATACTGGAGATGGACCTTCGAGGATGGACAGGGTTCTCGGGTTTCATCACATGTACATCCTTCTGTTCCTCCATTTTTGTGTAGAGATCCTCTGTAGGCTTTTGTAATTGTACGTAAGGACCCTTTGAGGGCTGTTGTACACGGATATTTATGAATATAAAGATACTTCTTTGATTTCTGTTCTCCATTCTTGCCCTATTATTGTATGTTCGCGTGCGCTTCGAGGCCTTTGAATCTTTTCGATCCTCTGCCGATTGACATGGATCTTTTTAGAGCCCATCGTCGTACCTCAGACCAAGCCTGAATTGATCTGATAGACTCAAGCTATCGGGCCCTTCGCGTTGCATGGAGACAATACACTGAGTTTTGGAGCTTTCGAGAGTGGTATCCAGAGTCAAGGTCATCTCCGGGTACCTGGGGGTATGCTTTGAACTTGATGAAGATAGCCTTTCAAAGTGTAGTGGATAGACTTCCGTTGAGGGGTTGCCTATACTTAGGCAATGCCTCGAGCCCTCCTAGAGCCTTAATGATTAGGGCTTCGCGTGCTTATTTTTATTTTCAGAAAGGAAACCATGAGATCGGGTACCGCCTCGAGTTCCATGATAGTGTTGAAGGCTTCCTGAAGCTTGACTTCTTTTTTGGCAGAGATCCTCGAGGTCGGGCACTACCACGAGACTGTAGACGATACAGTTGACTCCTTGAGGCCTAACGTCTTGTCGATAGATGCCTCTAGGGTCGGGTACCACCCCGGGATCTGTACCGAGGTCGTTGGCCTCCCGGGGCTTACTCTGGATAGGTGAATCATTGTTTTTTCCCACATATATATGGGGTGGCTTTTGCTTCTTTGGGAGATATCATTATTTTGGATAGTTATCCCTCCGCCTTGGAATCGGGTCCTTCGTCTCTTCAAGCGCAAAAAGCGTTGGCGCACGTCCTTGCTTTGGTCTACCAATTCTACCATAGTCATGGCAGCTACTTTGGGGCCGGCCCAACAGGGAGAGGAGAGTCCCACTCCCAGCATTCAGGATCCGCGGGATTCACTCTGAAGACTACGTCTTTGATAAGAGAAGAACATCTGGAGATGGTGAGGAGATACTACGGATGGAGCGAGGGGATAACGCTGCAGGTGCTTTCCCCGGATGAGAGTATTACGGACTCTACTGATGGATTCTCGAACGTATACCTATATCCTTTCGCATTTGGCCCCCTTGATAGGGTCGTGCTTTATTTCTTCTTGAAGTATCGGGTTACTTTGGCACAGATACATTCGTCATTCTGGTGAGTGGTGCTGATGATGAGGTTCTCTATGGAGAAGGCTGGGCTTGAATTCACGCTCAGCCACATCGTCAGGCTGTACCAACCCTTTCATCACCGAGGCCTATTAACCTTGCAGTGTCGTTCGTTTACACCCTTTGCTATCGATGATGAAGAAGATGGGGATCAAGAGTGGGTCAGTCGATTTGTCCGGGTCCAGACGGCTGACATTATCCCCGTTAAGCTCATGCCATTTCCCGAGGGATAGAATTACGCGCATGAGTGGAATGTCTCGTGCTTCCTTAGATTTGCTCATAGTGAAAACCAGTTGAGTAATTGTGTCTCCTTCCTTTTTTTTGCAGCAACTTCATGGATGCCCGGCGAAGTTCTCAATCTGCCTGGCTAGGTCCGAAAGTTGGCGACCCATTTGACTTGCGATGAGCATAGGTGGAGAGCTGTGTCCCGTGACAGATGGGAAGCAAAATACCAGGGTATGCGCGTATGCTGCTCATGCCTTGGTCTTTGTATATTTGAGATGACATTTCCATCTTTCTTTTGTATCGGCTTTGCCGTTGCAGGTATGGGTGGTTCCTTGGGGCGAGTCTGTGCTCCTCCGGAGAGGGGAAGGAGTCGTCGGCCTCCGAGCTGAGGGACAATGGTGATAAACAGGATACGCACCTGCAGTGTGATGGAGCTTTTAATGGGGCTCAACGGGCCCGTGTCTTCGCAGAGAGGACATCGCCCGAGCCTGATGTTCCCGGAGCATCCGATTCCAAAACGATGGTTCCTCTAAGTGAATATGCTTTGCCCGAGGTTGGTTCTTCCGGGGCCGAAGGTGCAGGACCAACAGGAGTGTGCTACGCCTTCGAGAAAGTCTGCCGTCTTCACGACATGGTGAGTTTCTGTGCAGTCCTTCTGTATTTTGCATCTTCCTTTCTTTATCGAGTTCTTCTTTTGCAGGCCTTCCATAGGATCAGGTTTGAGCTGCTCCATCATGGGGCTAGGCTTCGGAAATCTCTAGATGAGGGTGAGTCCCTTAGGCTCCTTAGCGAGGAGAAGGAGGCTGAGTTGATGCACTAGCGATATGAGGCGTATCAGAGCTCGAATTACAAGAGCAATTTGATGGAGTAGGTAACATTTCGTAGTACATGTTTTGCTCTTTTTGACCCTTAAGGTTAATCCCTTTGCCTATCTTAGCTGCAGAAAAACACAGAGGCTTCGGAGAACCTTAAGGGCGAAGCCAACCGCGTCAGGAATGCTTGCGGTGAACTGAGGGCTTAGGCGAAGGCTCAAGCTTTAAAGGAGAGGGGTGCCTAGGCCAAGGCTCCCACCTTCGAGGCCCAACTCTTCTTGGCTCATGACAATGCTACAGTTCAAGCGAATATGATCGTGAAGCTCAAGCCTGATCTCTCGAAGATCAAGGCTAAGATAATTGATGCCCGGGCTGAAGCAACATTAAGTCAAACCAAGGTTGATCAGGTGATGGTGATTCATATGAAGGACGCTGCTGATGCCCAAGACGAGTTAAAGCGGGCCCTCGGTCATGAGAGGAAGATCGAGGAATATGTTCGTTGCAGA